AAAAACACCTACTAAATGATGCAGTAGGTCCTCATTTCAGAGAACCATTTATTTGGATGACCTTTTATTAGTGTAGCTTCTATGGCAATGTTTTTGTAGCTAGAAGTTATCATCTTTTCATGGGCAGGTGATGGAGAGAAAGATAAATGGTGAGCAGAGTTGTCAAAAGAGCCCAGGATGGAGTTACAGGCATTAGAGGTCCAAAATATTCCTTTAGATCATAAATGATTATCTTTCACTCTTCTGATATGCATCTGCTCGTTCTAACACTAACACTAACACACACACACACACACCCCACTTTATCTTCCTAAGCTGAGATCAGGAAGTTTCAATAGCCCTACTTCATTTTCTTGAGCTGAGACCACCACACTCCTCATCTCCAATTTCACCCCCTTCCCTTTCCATCTTTCCTTCTTGGCTTCTTTTTCTGCTGATCTGAACAAACCCTTTATTTTTGCTCACCTTTATGAGATGAAAAAGGAGCCTGGATGGCACAAGTGGTTTGTAATCGGCTGCTAACCAAAAAGCTGACAGTTCAAATCCACCCAGCAGCGCAATGGAAGAAAAGCCTGGTGAACTATCTTACTGCTAGGAAAACCCTACGGAGCTCAGCTCTAGTCTGTAACGCATGAGGTCACCATGAGTTGGAATCGACTCAATGGCAGCTAACAATAGCAACAGTGAGATGAAAATAATTTCTAGCTTTAAAATAAAATAATTACAAACATGGCGTGGGGAGGATAAGTCTATAGAGCTCCAAATATTTTTTTTAAGTATTTTTAAGAGGCTGAGAATATCTCAAAAAGTCGATGCTTTCATGAGAGCTGGAACACAGAAAATGACCTATAAATATGCATTTGTTGAATTAGATTTAAGCTGAAGCCAGTAACTTTTTATAACAAAGAAAATGCTACAAATGTACATGTATGTATTCAAAAGGTACATAATATTAACAGTAGTCTCCCCCTAGGCTATTTGGAGCAGTTTTAATTTCCTTTTCTAAATAGTCTGTGTTTTCTAAATTTTCCATATAACAAAAAAACTGAATACATTAATTGAATACAAGCTCATAAGAAAAAGGCTGGAACAGGGGAGCACCTGGGGAGAGAGTAGCAGAAAGGTGAGAAGTAAAGGCAAAGAAGCTCCTGAATTAGTCCACTGTAAGTAAAAGCAGCAAGCTCTAAATCATTTCCATTCCCACCTTGCAAACCCAGGAATCCCATACTTTGTCTGCTCATTATAGCTAAGAGACTGCAGCCAAGTCCAATGCAAAGCAATAATAAATAAAGAACTCTAGACCAAATGTATCCATTTGAAGCAGGGAAGGTAACAACTGTTTGCTGGGAGGGTAGTGGAAGAGTACACTCAGGAATGTTGATAGTCACAGAGATGCTTTGCATCTCAAGCTCCAGGAGCCACTTAAAAGCAGCTATCTACTTCCAAGAAGTAAATCTCTTGGACGGGTACCTTATGTTCACGGAGCCTGAGAGGGAAGGTGCTGGGTTGTGTATTGGAACTCCCAGCCAACGAAGACAGCTATCTCTTTTGGCACAGGTTCCCAGGGATGAGACCATGTCTAGCGAGGATTTTCTCCAGATTCTACAGCCTCAGCCCTACCAAAATGCACAGCTTTGTTTTCACCAAACATCACTCATTGTGAGACTTTCGTTTTTCCTTTCAAGCACCCACAGGTCAAATACTGTGTGTTCACAACAGTCTGTGAACTTCTTAGACCGGCAGAGGGACCGTCCACTTTGCTCAGCACTCCTTTAACATTTCTATTGTGTTCGATTTCCCACTCCCCCTACCCAAGTCCCCAGAGAATAACTTCTTCCTTGTTTTAATAACTTGGACCACAGTCAAGGTTGATGTGTTTCTCCATTTTGCAGGATATTTTCTCCAGAAGAGACAAAACAGAGGCTAACAGTAACACAGACTTGTTAGCAGCCTTAGGAAATCAGCAGCCATTAAGAACACACAGAAAAAAAAAATTTTTTTAAAGAAATAAAAAACAACGCAAAGCATTATAAACAGATACACATAATGGTGGGCTCGCACTTAGAAAAATTCCCCTGTAATGTTTTTGCCCAGAACTTGTAAAAGTCTACCATCATTTGTCTTTGGATGAAGGGCAGAGTTGGAGTAATGGAAAGTGGTTTCATAAAATACTTTCTCTTTGACTTAAGCTGAAATAAGAAGTTCTCCCATTTGAGGTCATAAAAGTAGCTCTGATCTCAATAGGCATGCAGAGATTAGAAAGTGAACAAAGGGAGAAAGGAGGAGAGAGGAGTAAGTCATTGGGACGAGTACCTCCCCTCCCTACCACTATGTCACGTTTTCATTTCATTTTGCCCATGCTCGCCTTAAAATCCTGTCCCCATCCATTGTGGCACTGCTCCCTGCCACCAACTGGGCTATGTCTCCACGAACTGGCTTAGGACACAAGTAAATAAGTCTATTCTTTGTGGAGTCACCTTTTTCTAAAGTAACATTTTCAAGGAAAGAGGATACGAACAAGTATTTATGTATTGGGGTTTAGTCTGAAGTACATGATCTTTTAGTAAAAAACTGAAACTGCCTCGTTTTTATGTGTGATATAGAAATTATTTTTCTTCTCCAAAACTTGAGTCAGATCTCCAGTTTTCCTCTGTGCTACCTCGTCAGCATGATGTTTCTTACCATTGACTTCAAGGAGTCAAGACACTACTCATAGATTAAATGAAAAGGACAGTTCTTTTTCCTTATCTTCCTCCATGGCATATCTTTTCTGAAATGTATTTTCCAGATTAACAGTATTTTCATACCATGGCTAAAGAAAGTAAATCCAATTTCATAGAGAATAATGACTCCTACTCAGATTGTGTTTCCCCGGTGGAAAAAAAGCAAATATAAGCAAATAAATATCTCAGTACTCCTGCCTAAGCCCAACTTTCCACTGGAATTATTGATTCAGCTGAATCCAGGCCTCTGCTGCTCATGGGCTTGGAGGAGAGAGCTGAGGAGTCATCATTTTTAAGAGCTAAAAGAGAGGCAACCTGTGAATCCGTGATATATCCATGGGTTGTAAAATCGATTTAGGGCATCACAATCAGCATTTTTTACATGACATAGAATAGAGTAGGATATATCAGTGTGGACAGCATGTAGTAAAAGCATCATCTCAAAAATCTGTTTGTGTTGTGTTTGTATGCATGTGTGTATACTGACTCTCAGTGTAAAAGGCATTTCTAACTGTGGGTCACAGACTAAAAAGTTCAAGAAGCTCAAACCTAGGGCCCCAGGTCCTGAAGTTACACAGAAGTGGATTCCAACATGGCTCTGCCAATTACTTGCTACATGACCTTGGTTAGGTAGTTTAACGTCTCCAGTCTCCTCATCTGAAAAATGGATGTGATCATAGTATCCTTGAGGTTCTGGTGAGATCAGATGGGGAAATGTATGTAAAGCCCGTTATTCAAGGTCCAATAACGTTCACACCACTCCTTAGATAAATGCTCAGTTGACAAAATGGAAGCAGAAGTTAGCTGACCTACAGTATGTTCTAAAGAGATAAATCCACAGTGTGTGAGAAGATGGTACCAAATTAGACAATTGTAATTTTTTGCTCTCTGAAGAGCTGCTCTTCTATTGAGATAATTTAATCCTTTTTATATGGCTCTCTGAATGAAGCTAGTATTCAAGAAATGCATTTTTATTTCAGAAATCCTTTTTTGAAATATAGGTGATAGCACAATAAAAACTCTTTTGGTTTTTGTTTGTTTCATTTTGCTTTTCTCTTATACAGGGTTGAACAAAATAAATTATTCAAACTTTGTGCTTCATCCTTACAATATGGCTTCTGACTCCCCAGCAAGCAACTAATATTACATGTCTAAAGACCTTAAAAGATACCAAAATTTATCTCAACTATGGAAAGACCCAGATTCAAATACACACCAAGATTCCTTTATGTGTAATTTTTATAATTACACAAACAAACCCTGTACTCCAGCATGAAGAAATTTAAAAAATTGAAATGTACTGCTCCCTTCACAATCATGCTCTATCTTTTAGTTTGGAGAGAGTTATTGAGCTTTCTGAGTAGAAGAGAGGGAAGAAAAGGAGAGGATTCAGAAAGAATGATGGGGCCAAGAAGCCAAGAAACATAAAACGAGTTGAGAGTAGTAAGAAAAACAGGATGCTGAAATTGTCAGCAGCCCCTCAAATGAAAGTGGGGAGAGAAGCAATTCAAAGCAACTTCGGAAGGCTTTTTACTTCTGGGTCCAGAGAGAGGTAGTGGAGATTTGGATAAAATAGAAAAAACTGCGTATGCGGTAGCGGAGAAGGATATAACAGCAAGTCTCAGGAGATGGAAAACAACTCTACTGACGTTGAAAGGATGATCCAAAACTCAGAACTGAGCCAACAAAAGAAAGAAGGAAGAAAAGAGGGAGGCTAGATTTGGAGGTTTAAGCAGAGAAAATGAAATCAAAAGAAACAGCCATAGAAATGTCTCCGGGTGCAGGCTATAGGGCCAAAAAAAGAACCAAGTATTTGGGAACGAAAAAAAATAAGTCTTTACAAAACCTAGTGATGGACTCAGGGTAAAAATTAGGTGCTCCTTGACAGATCTAAAGGTAAATAGAGAAAAAAGCAAGTAGTATGACTGCAAGACTTGACTGACCTAACAGGAACATGTGTAATGCCACAAATTTAGTATTTTGTGAAACATTCTTGAGGAAAAGAGCAAAGTTCCCACTGTATTATTTTTTAAAATTGTCTTCCAGGTTTATGTTGATGATAAATGTCACCACCTCCATTTTCTCCCACAGCATATCTAAGATAAACAAGAAGAGGCAGACAGAGAGAGAGAGAGAGAGTTGGATAGATTCTTCCCGTCCCCGTGGCACCAACTGCTACCCTGATTACCCATTGTCAGTCCTAACTCCTGCATTGCCCAGGTGCCAGTCAACAAGGCCTACGTCATTTGCTCTGCCATCACCGCATTGTCCACTCACTTGCTCTGCCCTTCTGTCCATTTCACTGAGCTGGAGCTCCCAGCAGCAACTCTAGAAGAGAAGAAGAGGCGAGGAATGGGGAATGGAGCATGCATGCTCTGGCAAACCCCCCAGGATCCCAGAATCATATGAGAAGCCACTAAATACACAGAGATGTGAAGCTATGTGTCCAGTCAAGAATGCTAGCTCCCCAGTCCCACTGGGGTCGATGGTGGGGTAGAAGGCACGACAAGGAGGCTGGAAAGAGCCTGGGCTTTGAAATCCAACCTGTGCTTGGAATCCCAGCTCTGACACTTAACTAGCTACATGAGCTTGGGACATCACTTGACTCTCTGAGCTTAACTTACTAGGATAACAGTACCTAGGCCTCCTAATATTAGGAAGATTAACTGAGGTAACCTAAAAGAGCACCTTAAACACAGTAGGCACTTCAGGAGTGTTGTCCTATTTCCTGTCTCCTCAAACTTGTTGGAAACCTAAAAATGAGTTATTTTACTATTGAAAGCGCAAGTCGCGTCTGCTTGCCTTTTTTCATCCTCAGGCGGGAAGAGCAGCCCCTACCTATGTTTGACAGCTGTATTCTCCCTATAGTGGTTGTAAATCAAGTGTGAAGAAAGCCTATTGGCATGACCGGGTAGGTATGAGCATGTCTGACTTTGGACTGTCCAAATCATCATCACTCAAATATGAATTTGGGTCCTGGACTTTGTACACCCAAAGCACTTTTTGATAAGATAGTGTAGCAGTTAACATCTATGATATCACTACCAAAATAAACACTAAACAAAGTTGAATTGATACAACTTGGAAGAACTCCAAATTTTTTAAATAAGAAAAGACCATATTAAGTGTTCCCATTATTCTCAACTCCCCTGGTCCAGACAAAAGCATTTCCGTATTCATATTCCTGAAAATTTACTACTACTAAACACAATCCATCAATTGGGGGAGGGAAGAACACATCTTAACGCTACAGACAGTCATGCCCATTCTTCTAAATCAGTCCTTTTTTCATAAGTTATAAGCACCTTTAAAAGGGTTCAAACAGGTGTGAGTCACTGTTTAACGACAATGGAATAGAGAAGACCTTACCCCTTTAATGTAGCTCCTAAATTCATCTGATTCCAGGTCATGCATTCAAGCTGGGAGGTCATTTGGTATAAATTGTCACTGTTAGAAAAATATCCAGAGTTAGAGACACATAACCACAAAAAAAATGCATGCGTTTTTTCATAAAGCAATGCAGTTTTAACTTTTCGTTATAGTAAAAGTCTCCACGTTTTCCAGTGCAACAGAGCATGCGAGTCAAATGATTTTCATTTCATCCCACAGATCTCTGCAGTTATTCACCTCAGACCCAGAAAAAAGGATGTGAAAGTAATTTGGAAGCCTTTAAATAAACCTCAGGATAGCAAACAATGAAGTTTCTAAAGAGTTATTAAAATCTTTGAGGGGAAGAGGCTAAAGGGAGTGAAATTTTTTGAAAGGCAACACAGGCTGGATAACTCAACATGAAAGTTAAAAGCCTGGAGCTGAAAGTAAAAAGACAGCAGATTAATTATTCGTGAAAAGGCCATTAAGTTGTTTTTATCAAAAGGATAAGTATCATGTGGATTATGAGGGTCTGAAAAGTCAAAGAGTGATGGGTGAGGGGATGGTCTAATACCCAAGGATGTGCAAAGCAGAAGAAAGAGGATTATGAACTCTATGCACAACTGAAGGAATCGTTACAAGTTTTATAATCCTGGTACAAATCAAACAGAGTTAAAAGAAAATCAACTCAACTCTCTAATGTTCTTTGAGGAGAGACAATGGGTGATCAGCTCATCACTCACATTAAGACCCTAAGGGAGAAAATACACCACCATGTAAACCAACCAAAAGTTGTTCACTCCCTTTTATACTCACCTCATTCTTATAAAACTAGCACATAAATCAATTACCAGAAATCTACTATATTACTAAACTCTACTAGGAATAAATTTAGGCCTGAACTGAAATGGTTAATTATGATATTTGAGACCCAAGAGATTAATGGTTTGTCTGGAACCCCTTGGTCTAAGCACACTGCAGAAGAAATTTTTCACTCTACCTTCATGGTAAAAGTGAAAGAAGATAAGAAGTTTTCAATATCTAATGTGCAATATCAGATGACAAATCCTGGACAATCTCCATCTCGTCATGACATTCCTTTGGGTTGCTTCATCAGGAAAGGCAACACCAAATCTCAATTAAGAGGGTGTTCTTGTCAGGCCAACCAAACTGGGAACGCGTGGAGGGGTGAGGGAAATTACAGCAACTCGAAATAAATGAATACCGTGCTCACTCTCTCAGAATAGCTTGATAAATCATACTAGAGTCCATCTGACTCTCATGTAATCACTCTGAAAATTATTTGGAACTCCCTGGTGGTGGGTACACAGGATAAGAAGGAAATCAGATTGCAGGAGGGACTTTTGCATATGAAAAGTGAACTGACTTCCAACTCGAAATATGTGTAGTTTCATTAGTCAGTGTATATCTGGACCCCATCATTCATCCCCATGTCTGACTGGCTATTATGCTACTACAATATCCTACATATCAATGAAAAAAATTATTAGTTTCTCCTGCAGCTTCCCCATTTGCAGCAGCGGCCCGTGCTGGTCTGTGCCACTACATTTCGCAATTCCATGAATTCTTGCTGTAAGGCCGGTGTAATTAATTCCCGAAGGACCCCAATTTTTATTAGAAGTGCCAGCCTGCTGCATTTACCACAGGAGAGTTTCGTGAACTTTCTTTGGGCTGACAGTTCATTAATAAGTGGCCTCCTCCACATCTCTACTGGTTTTTGTTCTCCTGCGCCTTTTCATCAAGCAATCCATTTATTAATCTGGACATTAATCTCAGCCAACAGGCATTGTATTCCCCAGGCAGCTCTATATTTTTGTCACTAATTTTTAAAAAATTGTTCAGCAACTAAAATCACTCAGCCCCAGCTGACAATTTTCCTAGGCCCTGTTGGGATGTGGGATCTTTCTTAAATTTATTTCATCCTTGCTTATGAGTAAGAAAATCACTGTAATTTTCAAGAGGGCTGGGAAACAGGATGAGTGACAGAAGTTTACACACACTGGGTAATGAGTCCTAAATATCTAACTTTATGATTTAGGAATTTTCTCACAGACTTAAAGAACAGTTACCTGATTCCTAAGGGTCTCTATAAGTCACTCCAAAGTGAAAATATTTTAAGGGCATTTTCTCAGCTCCTGGAAAGCAAACTTTGTCAAATACAGGGTCCATGTCTTACATATATCCTATGTATCTTCTTAGTGGATGCTTAATAAATGCTCTAGATCTGTGCTATCCAATATGGTAACCACTAGTCACATGTTGCTATTGAGCACTTGAAATGTGGCTAGTGTCACACGTTAAAATTTGTCTCTATTGAGTTAAATAGAATATATTAAAATTAATTTCATGTTTCCTTTTTTATGTGACCACTAGAAAATTTAAAATCATGTATATGGCTTGCTCTATGTTTCTATTGGACTGTGCTGCTCTTGAGCAAATCAGTTAATCTCTCTGTACCTCAATTCACTCATCTGCCAAATGGGAATATCTTAATCAGTCTAACCTTACAGGGATATTGTAAGGCTCAAACATGGGTAACATCCATAACGGTTCTTTGAAGACTATATCAAAACCAAGAAACCAAACCTGTTGCTGTCCAGTCAACTCTGACTCATAGCAACCCTATAGGACAGAGTAAGACTGCCCCGTAGAGCTTCTAAGGAGCAGCTGGTGGATCTGAACTGCCAACCTTTTGTTAGCAGCCATACCTCTTAACCACTGCACCACCAGGGCTCTGAAGACTATACAGATGATATACATATATATTTTTTCTAACCTACCCTTTTTTGCACAGTACTTTCACACATTATCAATACTTCTCAAAACTTGGTGCAAACCAAAAACCAAACCCCCTGCCGTCGAGTCGATTCTGACTCACAGTGACACCACAGGGTTTCCAGGGCTGTAAATCTCTATGAAAGCAGACTGCCACATCTTTCTCCAGTGGAGCCACTGGCGGTTTCATGATCCCCACTTATCATATGAGGACTGAGGCTCAGAGAGACAAAATCGTGTACTCAAGATCACAGAGCCTAGTGCTGGCTTGCCTTCCATACTTCCCCACCCCTTTGAAGGCATCCTGGTATTATTTGGCCTTGGAGTCTCTTCCTGTCACTATTATTTACAAATAATAACAATAATCATACAGACAAGAGTCCGTAGGTGAAAGGGAACATGGTGGAGAGAGCACTGTGACCTACTCTGTCTCCAGAAAGTGACAAGATACCCAACACATCCTCTTCAGCTAGCTAAGGATGGCGTGCCAAGATCCCAGTAGGAGCCCTACTGTGTGATTCTAGTTGTCCTAATATAGTTCAACCTCCAAACCCTCAGAAACAGAAGGTGGGGAGAGGTGATGGGGGAGAAGGACTCTCAGAAAATCCCCAAGCTACTAATAGGTTTCCTGAGGCCAGTGATAGGATCAGAGCACAATTTTAACCACATCCTGCCTACTGATGGCTAGGCTCCTCAGCCTGGCTGGCACAACTGTCCAGCTGGAAGTCAGTGACAGCAGTGACAATAACCGCTGCTGGGAGAGAACAAAATGTGAGCTCAGACTAAAAATACTGGGCTCAAGCACGCTCACTCAGGCTCTGATCTCTTCGGGCAATCAGTCAACACCCAGTTCTCATCGTGGAAGCCCACGGAAAGAGGCAGCACTGTTCAAGGAATATATAGCCTCTGGCAAATAAAGCATCTAATTATTTACTAACCACTGTAGGTGTCAACCATCTCATTCCCAGAGGAGCTCAGATAAGCAGGTGGTTTGGCTCAGAGCAACCACAGTGGTCACGTAGGCATTTCAGCTCCAGCCATCTAACTCTGCCTGTTCGGAAGTGAACTCTGAAATTGCAGGCCACTGAGATATATCCCAAAAGTCATGACGTCCTTTTTTTTTCTTTTTTTTTTTTTTTTCTTTTTTAAGTAGATCTTTTAAAAGAAAAAGTCACTTGTCTTCTATGGAACAAATGTTTGAAGTTGGAGGCAAGGGAGAGAGGAAAGTAACTTCTATAACTGGGATTAAAATAAAAGGAAGTCAGTCCTAGCAAAAAGGGGAACTTAAAAGGAAATCAGTAGTAGATCATATAGAGTTTGTTTTGGCCTGGACTGCAATATTACTGAGTTCTCGACCCCTGCCCAAAAAAAAGGAAGAAAAACTTCAGCTATTATCTGGACTGAAACTCCCCTACTTTTCAAATGCATGTGTGATTCAAGCACATTTTCATCTTTAAGTGTATTTACTATATTCAGCAGAACAAGGTAGCAGAGTTCATGTTACCACTGGAAGGGAACTGTTGAAACTTGGGTTTCAATTTGGGTTAACTCTGCCACATACTTGCAGACTGGCAAAGCCGCATCTTGGTAGAAGTAAAGAGTGGCCCCCATGGGATCCAAAAAAAAAAAAAAAAAACTAAACAAGGAAAAAAACAGAGATAACTGGCATCTGTGATGAGAATTCATGATGTTTCCAGCTTTTGTTGTAACAGCTCTGCCCCACACCAGCAGAGGGACCTATATGGGTTTACCTCTACCTGATAACCCCAGACTCATACCCAAAGGCTGCTGCCAGACTTTCACGCAGTCCTTTTCCTGTGCTCTTCCTTCTGAGGCGCCTTGGAGGCTGCTAGCCGAGAAATTTCTGCACAGCAGGCCACGGTGAATAATTATTTTACAGTCACTCTCTTGGTATTGTAATTTCTCTCAAGCTCACCAGTGAACCAAAAGAAAAACCCTCTGGGGATTCAACTTCTATAATAAACTCTTGGTCAGCACAAAAGTTACAGAAATATTTGAAACGAGATTTTTCCCCCTCCCTGGAGACAAATCCAATTCAGGCCTGTGGCTTTGATGGCACTGCCCACCACCCTGGAGACCATTTCAAACCTTCCACCTTCGTGTCTACTTATGTAAGAAACAAATATTAGCATCTCACTAATTTAAAATATCGTAAAAGTATACATGGATCCACAAGTGAGAAGAGGTAAGATTAATCACGATTTTATTTTCTTGGGCACAGGTTAAACAGGTTGTCTGTGCTGAACGCCCATCTAAAGTGTGGATCATGCATTGTCCCACTGACCTGTGAATCCCAAGATTCCCCAGAAACTTCCTGGTTGATAAAGAGGTTTTTCTCACATCTAAACTTCCCACCTGAAAGGCAATCTACTGGTAACAGGCTCCACTGTCAACTTTATCATTTGTGAATCATCAACATTCAGTTAGAAATATTCAAACCAGCAATTATTGCTTCCAGGGCTGGAGCAGTTTTATCTGCTATGGGGCAAAAGGACTTGTTGTCAACTGCCATAGAGTTGGCCAGGCTCACGGCAACGCTACGCACAACAGGATCAGACCATTGTTAGTCTGTCTTGGTCTGGAAGCTCTGCTGAAACCTGTTCAGCATCATAGCAATATGCAAGCCTCCAGTGACAGACGGGTGGTGGCTGAGCTTGAGGAGCATTGGCCAGGAATCAAACCTTGGTCTCTTGCATGGAAGAATTCTACCACTAAACCAAGATGAGATACCCTCGTTAAAACTGGCAATACAGTTGGTTAAAGAAGGATATACAAAACTAATAAAAGACTAAAAAAGAATGGGAAAAGACTAGAATGTCCTTAAAAATCAGTGTGTGGGGAATATTTTTCAAAAACAGTGTCCGTTTCAAACTCACTGTGAGGATGAATCCGTGAAATAGGCTATAAGGAGGTCAGCAAGCAGAAGAAGCAAAGGGGGCTTGTGGAAGAGGGTTCAAGGAATGAGAGCAGGGAAGGCCCAGCTAGCTGCCTTTCCCAGGTAGAAGGGGGGAAGAAAGTTTTTTAGTAAGGTCTGACTTAGCTATATTCTCCCCACAGGAGAGCATGGTATCCACCGTTTCCTGGAGCCTTGCCTCTAAGCAAGCACAAACCAGCGTGGCCCTGAAAGCAGTTGTTTCTCCTGGGTGTGGACGGAAGGGAAGAAGGTCCCTCTGTCCTGGGATTCTTTAGGTGCCTGGACTGAACTTCCCCCCAGTGTTCACAATCAGTAGTAAAGGTGAAGCTGGAGAGCCTAGAGTTTGAAAGGTAGACGGCTGCTTTGGGAGTTAGGACTTCAAGAAAAAGTTGAAGTCTGTTTCCAACATTGTCCACTAGTGAAAATACTGTCCCCCAAACCACTAAGCAATTTCTGTTGAAAGCTATCGGTAAAACTAATGGGTAACGGGACTTTCTTCACAACTGTGGGAAATAAAGACCCGTGAGTGAGACCTGGAACAGATGCCACCTTGGGAAACAGAATGACACTTAGCCATCAGAAGAGGCAGCAAAGTACGGTCGGTAGGAGGATGGATTCTGAAGACTCAGTTCCTAGTTTAGACACCAACTCTGCCTTTTACTGTGTGACACCACACAAATTAACCTCTCGAAGCCTCAGTTTCCCCTCTGTAGAATGGAGGTGATAATACATTGCCTATCTCCAAGAGTCTTTATATCGATGAAATGAGTTAATACTTGTAGAGTACTTAGAATGGTGCCTTTTTTGTTGTTGGGTGCCACTGAGTTGATGTCGACTCAGAGTGACCCCATGTAACAAAATAGAACTGTCCCATAGGGTTTTCTAGGCTATGATCTTTAGGGAAGCAGACTGCCAGGTCCTTCTCCCGTGGCACTGCTGGGTGGGTGTGACCCACCAATCTTTAGGTCAGTGGCCGAGCAGAGACTTTATAAGCGGAAAAATCCAGGTGGTGAACTGAGTGGCCTCGAATCCCTCAGTGGTTCAGAGCACAGACGGGCTTTGAAGTCAGAGAGTCAGAGGATAGAATCCTGGCTCTGAGTCTCACTTGTGATATCAAGTCCCAGAACCTGCTTCTTCATCAGTAGAGATTATACCATAGCACTCACCTCTTCAAGTCATCAGGATTAAATGAGACAACACATGAGTGAAGAATTTAGCACTGTACCCAGCAGCACACGGTGAGCATGCAATAAATCTTAGTTATTGTATTAAAGAGACTCATGCTCTCGTTCAGCTACGATTGCTAGGTGAGACATAATTCTGCCCACCTTCAAGGTGTGGTGAGCAGGGAAGATGGGAGACCAGTTCCTGTCACTTCCCATAAGGCTTTTCCTACTCACTACTGTTCACATCCACACACAAATGTGTGTAGCTGGAACTCCTCAGTTCTGTTACCTGAGAGGAAAGAACTGTTCAGGGCACAAGGAGAGAACTAGAATTTTGAAAATCTCCTCAAAGTAAAATCGCACAGTACTGATTATTCAGTGTTGGTATATATACCATTAAAGAGTACTGGTGGCATAATGGTGGTGCAATGGTTAAGTGCTCAGCTGCTAACCAAAAGGTTGGCATTGGAATCCACCCAGCAGCTCTGAGGAGAAAAGGCCTGACAATCTACTTCGGTAAAGATTACAGCCTAGAAAATCCTATGGGGCAGTTCTACTCTGTCACATTGGGTCACCGTGAGTTGAAAATGGACTCAGTGCACCTAACAACAATATATATACCATTACCTTTATTTCAGGCTGGGAAGGGAGACTAGATCCCAAGACTGGGGAGAGAGAGGCTTGCGGGGAGGAGTTGAATCTGGGCAGGCCGCCTCAAGGGGCCAAATGCAATAAGGCAAACAAAATTCAAGCAAATCGTTTTGAGAATGTCCCAATTTTAGACGGAAAAGAAAACAGAGCTAGAGAGAGATCCTGATTTCCAAGATCCGATTACGGTAGATCTGCCAGATTTTCAGGTCAAAAGGAAAGGTTTCCAAAGTTACCGTGCCCGGGGCGCACAAAAGTAGAAGGGGTGCGGCTCTGTACCTCTCTAGGAGTTCCAGCGAGGGAGAGCGCCCCATAGGAGGGACAGATTAGTCCCAAGCTCAATCTCATAAACCCAGCGGGGACATTGGGATGGGCCCCTGCGAAGGCTGCTGCCCATCCTCCACCTGCGGGACGGGAGGTCCCCCAGACACGGCCGGGAGGTCCCCCAGACACGGCCATTCTCCCACCCAATCTCCCAGGGCAGGCGCTTTTCCTTCCTTCATTACCTCACTGCCTCCTTCCCTTGACGTCAGCCCCGGGTCCGCGCGGAGGGGCGGAGGAATGGGGGATAGGTTTGAGGCAGTCGGTATCAGGATCCCCGCAGCACCTCGGGCGGGGGGGTAGGGTGAGGTAATGCGCGCCCAATGGGGGCTGCAAAGGTCGTGCGCCGCCACTTCCCCCTCCCCGCCCCACCTTCCCGCCCGGCGCGGGCTGGTGTGCACCACAGTTACTAGGCAACCCTATCGGAGGCGCGGGACGCCAGCCAAGTTCACCCAAAGTTGAAGAATAAATTTGGGGAGAGAAGGTGGAGGGGAAGCTAGATCCGGGAGAAGGAAGAAGGGACGGGAAAAACGCTTGGAGGGAAAAGTAGCTGATCTTCCACCTTCGGAGAACAGGAGGAAGGGCCTGCGCGCGCTAGCGCAGTCTCCCCGCAGGGCACTGCTGTGACCACCGTCCCGCACAGTCCCGGGCCCGCCCTAGCTAGTCACCAGGGCGCTGGGAACGACACCTACTAAGCGCAGCCATAGCTGAGGACTCTCGGTGACAAAGGGGGGAAAAGGCTGCGGCCGGAGGGGATACGCCCTCGAAGTAGTCCTTGAGAGTCTGGCCAGTGGGCCAGTGGGCGAGGAAGGGTTTGAGGAGTGAGAAAACGGAGTGGGAGGGGCTCTGTGTTTAATCTTTGGTCGGGAGGAAGCTAAAATCTTCCCAGCAAAGACTAAGCTAAACCAAACGCGTTGCTATCGAGTCGATTCCGACTGATAGCGACCCCAAAGGGGAGAGAACTGTCCCATAGAGTTTCCAAGATTCGAACTGCCGACCTTTTGGTTAGTAGCCGAGCTCTTAACCACTGCACCATTAAAGGATGGTTTAAAAAGTAACTTCTTAAAGCGCCATTGCTTCTTCAGCTCCGAACAGTAATCGCTCTCATTATATTCAAGTGAGAACGACGAAGAGACAAGGAAACAAACTTCTTTCAAATAGGAGCGGAGAGATGATTTACTTAATTTGCTCTAAGGAGCCTGGTGGGCTAAAGGCGCCCTGTGGCGCCCAGGCCCTGCAAGCCCGCGGGCCGGGCGAACCCGCGTCGGACGTTCTCGCGCTCCCTCCCGGGTCCGGGAAGCCTGACACGGTGACCTACCTGCTGTAGGGCGTCCTCAGCAGCAGGGCCTGGCTGCCTGTGCAGCTGTCAGTGGGGGTGTGGCAGCCGTAGACTGGGGGCGGCACGGAGTACTGCTGTTCGCCTGCAGAGAGTCAAGGAGGGCAGGGTGAGCGGGCCCCAGACTGCCAGGGGTGAGAGGCCGCGGGCACTGAGGAACGTGGGTGGGAAGATCTTCATCCTGGAGTGGGCCCCTAGGCTGAGCTGAGGGCACTAAGGCCTGGATCCCCAGACGGGCAGAGCGACAGCGTCCACATCGTAAAGAGCTAAGCTTCTCCCCTCACACTCCCTCTGCAGTCACCGGTGTTGGGCCCAAAAGGCCCTCGGGACTGGGCACTGGGAGACTTGGTGGAGTGACGCTGTCCCTCACATACTACGGGACTGGGCAGAGTCAGTCTTTTCTTTCAAACAGAACGGAACTGGGCTAATTATTTCTAAAGCCCCTTTGGATGTCCTCTTCTGCCACGGGCTAGAAATTCCTGGGGGGCGCGGAAGAAGGGAAAGCGGACCCCCAGATCTTTTCTGGCTCTTACCCAGGGAGCCCTGCTGGCCCATGGGGTCCTCGTGCTTGAAGGAGTGGTTGGGGAACTGCGCCGCGTGGTGCGAGGGCGTGTGGCCGTAACTGGGCGTCCCGTCGAAGGTGACGGTGCTGTATCCTGCGGGCGCGACGGGGAGAAGCACAGCGTCAGCGGGTTTTCGGGGAGATCGGGGCAGTTGGTCTGAACCAGAACCCGGGCGGAGGAGTGCGCTCCTCCCTACCCAGCATTCGGATCCCTCGGCGCGGGTAACCAGCCCCAGCCTCCAGGCCTTTCGGCGGGAAGCCGGGCCCAAGCCCGGTGGTGTGACCTCAGGACATAGTTTCACCCTGACCTCGCGGCCACTTCCTAATTTATTTAAGCCGTCGTCTTCCTTGGTGACTGTCGCTTTTGCACCGATCCCACGGCAAGTTAAGCACAAAAACCGTCGCCTGCTCGGGGGAGAAAGCTGTTCTCCCCAAAAACAAACACCGTGGCTCTCGCGCCGGGGCAGCGCGGGCGAGGGAAATGAATCTGCTCGGTTGACCCCGTGCTGACTCCGAGCTGTAAATCAGGGGCCCGCGCACCAACTTTCATTAATTACTCTGGACCAGTTAAGCGGCTTGGGCTTTCAATGGGGAAGACTAATTACCGAGTAATGTTATCTGTCTGGGGCTGCGAGACCTGACACCACCACACCTAAGGCCTTCAGGAGAGCTGGTAAGGGGCCCGTCCAGCTGGGCCCGCAGGCCTCGACCCTGAACCCTCCTCCTGCCCCCTCGGACACACCTGGCGCCCAGCAGGTCCGACTCTGACCATTTCTGTGCTGGTAACCTTCCTCCCGCCCCTGGCCGAGAAACCGGTTTATTTTACAGTTTGCTGGACACGGCAGTGTACAGGTCCTCTGCCTCAGTTTCCCTGCCGAGAAACCGAAGGCACTATCTTCCCCACGTCTCTGAAGGTAGGAAAAGGAATGTGGAGTTAAGAGATACGCTCTCCTGACTGTATTTAAGTTGCTTTAAATATATGGTTAGTTTCTTGAAAACTGTTGCTACCTTTTCGGGAAAAGCATCCTCGAGTTAAAATAAGGATTAGACCTGGAGCCCTGAACTCCAAAGTGGGGTCCCCTCTAACCATGTGCAAGCTCCATAGTCTCTGGCCTGAGGTCCAGGCCAAGTGGGAAGGAGAGTGGTCCCGGACGCTGACACCGACACCCTGCGCCCTCGGCCACCTCGCCAGCCCCAGCTCCCCTGGGCCAGCGACCGCGCGGGGTCTGCAAGCCCCAATCAATTCTCAGGAGAGGGCAGACGGCCCCCGCTCCTCCACTCTTGCTCCAGACATGATCAAGGCTCTGCAACAAGTGTCCGCGAAGACTTGGTCCGGAATGGACGAGAAAGGAGGCTATTCACACACACACACACACACACACACACACACGCATCAAAAACATGAAACAAAAACAAACAAAAATCGCGAGCTTCTCTCCCCCTCCGGGACAATGGAGGCACCGCCCTGAGTGTGGTATGTCAGAGAGAGGTGCCGAGGCAGGGGCGCAGAAGAAGGTAGTAAGTACCGGTCCAAGGCAGGCCATGTCTCATGCACCGCAGGCTGATGACTTAAAAAGCCACCACCATTTATTATCTGCATGACCCCAGAGGTCCTCCATTTCTCGCATGCTAAGTGGGCAAAGATAACCCCCGCCCCGTTAGGTCTCAGGCGTGAGTGAGCTAACTTAGAGTCTTTCAGCGACTTCCTTTTGGTGGCGGAGGCCCTGTTTGAGGCCTCCAGATGAGGTTGCTAACGAAATTTGGCTGTGGTCACCTTATTTTGCCCAGAAGGTAAGCCGAATTTCTGAAAGGGCATTTTTCAAATAAAGGGGAAGGCAAATTAGAAGCGACAAAGAAAGTGTCTCTAGACAAACCCTTCTCCATCCTGAGCCGAAGAGCCGGCAGTGGCCCGGGCACCTCGCAGTCCTCAGAGGCGGACTCTGCAACTGTCAGTGCGCGGCGAGGACCGTCGGTCCCAGGCTGCAGCTCCCGCGTGGGCGGCTTCGCCTCCGCGCCCCAGCACTTGGACCCAAGGCTGCCTGTGCCCCCAGGAGGCTCCTAAGCCCCCCTCCCAGATAGGACACGCAGACCCCGGCGAGCAGGAGCCGGCCTCAAATCCCCTCCCTCGGGTCCCCGCGATGGACAGTGGTGAAGGAACAAGGAACCTGCGGGGAGGAGGGAGGACTCTCTTAATTAGGAGCTTATCGGGCGCGGGACTGATTAGAACGCGCTGTCCAGGGGGCTCCGCGCCGGGCTTGGCACCGAGAGATCGGGGGCGGCGGCCGGGGGAGGGACAGCTGCCGCGGGAAGAGGCAACATGTTCAAAGGCTCCTTGTACAGAGCTTGGAGGGAAAGGCTCCGGCGGCCAAGGTAGCGCCTTTCCCACGGTTAGTCCCGGCCGGGGAGGGGAGCGCAACCTTGACCGCGCTGAGAGGCCAGAACACACCCTGCGCCTCCCTCTCCCGCCCGCTGCTACGGAGGAGCCCGGGAACCGCTTGTGCTAGCCCAGCCTCGAGGAGCTAAGGAGTGGGATAACAGTAGGATCAGCCTGGAAAGTGCTCAGAGGGAAACAGAATGATTGTTTAAAATGATAACTCGGCGGCTGCAGGCGGGGTACGGAAAATCTGTTACCCAACGAAATGCCCTCTCCCTGTGTGACCGAAGGGGGCGCCCCTGGCCCTCGGGCTGAGCTGGTCTCCGCACGAGACCCTGGGTGAGCCTGGCGATCCGAAGGCCTCGTCTGGCGCTCCAGCGGGGCTGAGGGCTTAGGAGCTGACTGCAAAGAAGTCATTTTTTTCTCCCTAGGCCCGCATTTACTCTGGGCCTGCCCCGGTCCTCCCCCTACCTCTGCCCTGACAACCTCCACAACCCCCACACAGATTACAGTGGGTTAGGCGTGCAGTCAGTGGGGCAGAAGAAATCCATCTCAACAGTGGGGCCAAGATCCCTGGAAAAGTAGGTACAAATAAAAAGCCTAGAATGGTCTGGGCTCAAATCCCAGCTCTGCCACAAACTGAGACTGTTGCATACCTAATCTCTCAGAGCCTCGATTTCCCCAACCAAGGATAAGAGGCTCTCCAGTACTTGGCTGCGAGCTTCTTGTAAAGGTTTTAGAGGAGTATTACTTGTCTTAATATTCAATCCCCAGTACCCTGCACAGTGCTTGGCACAAAGTAGACAATAAACGTTCGCTGAATTAATGTTTAGCGATAATGTTAGAATGCCAGCTGTAATATTTAAGAAACAAAAATGAACATTCTTGAAAAACCTTTTAGGGGAGGAAGGGAAGAGGCCTCGCCTGTGGGCCATGGCTAGGCCGACCTGACTGGGGACAGGGATCCAGAGAGAGCCTCCCTGCTCCCCTATCCTCTTCCCTGGAGTTCGGTCTCCGCGCGCTGATGGCCATTCCTACATTTTGGGAGAGGACTGACGCCCTTACCTCCCCCAGCCCAAGTATCAGCAGCGCTCAGATGGCGGAACTCCGGGAGCTTTGGAGTTCCTTGTGGGGGGTGGGGGGACCCCCAGTAATCCAGAGAATAAATCCGGAATCAGGAAACCTCGAGTGCCTGCCCTGCTAGCTGATGCCGGGGCTAGGCTAGAGCGGCTTCTCCCATCCTATTCTAGCTCCCATCTGCCGAGTGAGCCCAAAGGGCTGGGCGTGTTCTACCCATTTATGTTTTTATTGCAGGAGAAAACCAAAGCCCGCAGACAGAAACCCTGGTTACAGGCTGAGACCCTAGTCTAGGGCGGCTGTCCATCCGGCCTGTCTCCGGTGGAGGCGAGGAAGGGGACAGGGAGCTCATTCACCTGCCGGTTCCGATGACCAGCTCCCAAGCCCATTTTTTCTGTGGCAACCGAGCCTGTCTACTCAAGAGGAATCCGGCCCCTCCCCCTGAGTGTAGTGCCCCGGACTGCGAAGCCAACAGCCCTGTGCCCTACGCCGAGTTGATGGTATCCTGGGCACCAGACCTGCCCGCCCTCAAGAAGGCTGAGTACAGGAGTTCAAATCGAAGCAACTGAGCCCAGGTTCCCAAAACCGCTGCTGAACCTAGATGGACTCAAAAGATAATGGCAGAATAGTATTTTCCGCCCCAGGTGCTTAAATCAAATAGCTTTTTAGGCCTCTCGAAACAGCACAAATCCACACACTGGCTCTCATCACACACCTGCCTGCCAGTCGCGCTGTTTCTGGCCCAGTCATCTTTACGTGGGCCGCCATTTCTGTACTTAGAATCTCAAGCCGGGAAAAGTCGGGTTTCTGCCAGGTCGCCCATCTCAGCCCTCCTCTTACAGATGGGGAAACTGAGACCTGGAGACTTGCCAAAGTAACACCAGCCTAATTCAAGGTGGCACGATTCTGGAACACTAGATTCCGAACTATTCAGCCTGATACGATCGCCACTAAGCAGCTCTGACATCCCTTGAGTTCAAAACACTAATTCCATTTCCTAAGGACCTAGAATGGAGAGACCTCTTGGGTTGGCCTGGGGTTGGTTCCTCCACGAGTTGCGGATCCCAGATTCCCCTGGCGAGGAGGGGAGAGCGGTTTCGGTTTCGCAGGACCTCGGATGGGCCAGGTGCTCCCGGCTGGACTAAGGGAAAGAAGGCCTGGAGAGACGCGTTTAGAAGGCGCGGGCGGCGGCAGGCAGTAGAGAGCCATTCTCTGGCGCCTCGGACATCCTGCAAACCTTAAACACTCAGTTCCTCCCTGCCCACGCTTCTCAAAAACACCCCAGTCCCTAAGGCTGCGTGAATTTTTGCTCCATGAAAAGCGTCCGCCACTGCGTTAGCAAAGCGTTTCCTAAGATAGAGCGTCAAACTGAATTGGTTTAGGTTCTCAACCGTGCAGAAATACAACTAGAATAAATTCATAGACTGTACTACAGAGGTTCTGCACGGGCGGTTCCGCCCTGGCCGGGGGAAAGAGGGTGTGCGGGCGCCCGCGCGGGATGTGAAAACATCCAGCCATGTCCCTCCGTGTACAGGGGCTGAAGACCGCAAATAAACTGTCCTTATTCTCAGCCCTGGGTGTTGGGCCCCGCGTCTACGCGACGAAGACGTGCCCAAGGCGCATGAAGGCCGGTCCTCCAGCCTCAGTCCACTACCTTAGGAAGAATTCGATCTCGCTTAGCTCAGAATCTGATAAGCTGGGTTCTCGTCCATCTCCCGAGCCCCCGTGGCCGCGGCGCCCCACCGCCTGAGCCGGAACCAGGAAGAAATCCACTACTATACCGCCTTATGCGGAAGCCTTAAGTGGACAAGGACATGATTCTGGGAAAACCACTGTTTAGTGGCTGGACTGTTCATTTACTCGTTCTTGCGTTCCATGATACTTATTGTGCACCTACTGCGAGCCAACACCGTTAATGGCCGGGGTGACTCCTGAACATCTTCGCGCGGCAGAGGCAGCAGAGGCTGCTCATCTCGCGCTGGTCCCACTCCGAATCCTATCTAGACTTCTAAAGCCCAATGCCGAGGTTGGGCTTTGAATGGCAAAACCTCTTCCTGAGGCGGAGCTTGAGACTGCACTGGTTCCCCCGTGGGGACTCGGAATCTCCCAAGGTCTGAAAGGGCCCCAGACTGCCTCCCGGCTCAAGCGAACAGTCCGGCTCCCCGCCCTGCCGTGGAGGGAGTCGGCGGTCGCTCCTTTTCCCGGGCATTCCCCTCATCTCCCCCGCCGGCCATCGCTTCCGCTGCCCTCGCAGCCCTCGGGGAGGCAGCTGGGTAAAAGTAAAAGCTGGGGACCCGGAAGGCGCAGGAGAGAGGAGAGCTTGCGCGCGGCGAGAGCCCCGGCGCCAGCACCCCACGAGCAAGGGGCGCTCCCCGGCCGGCTTACCCTGGTTGCGAATAGCGGGCTGACTCTCGAGGCAGCTGGGCAGGTAGGGCGCGTTGGGAAACATCCTGGCCTGGCCAGAGGGCGCCTGGCTGGGCGGAGGAGGACCGAAAGGTCCGTAGCGACAGGCTCCGGCGGTGCCGGTGAACTGGCCCGAGAAGTGGACGGTGAAGGCGCTCAAGCACTGCTCCTCGTGCGGCTCCGCGCCGCCCCAGCTCGGCTCCTGTTTGATGAAGGAGTGAGGTGGCGGGGGCGGAGGGGGCGGCGGAGGAGCCGGTGGCGGGGCCGGACCGCCCAACGAACCGTAAGCCGAGGCTCCTGGGGGTGCGAAGTCCAGAACCGGCGCCCACTGCGTGGCGCCGCTCACAGGCAGCGCGCAGCCGCCGCCGCCGCCCAGCGAGGGGACGGCTGGCAACAGCGCGTTCAGGTCCCGCACGTCGGAGCCCATCTGCTGCGGCTCAGCCCCGGACGCCCCGCGGCTCCTCCGGCCCTGCAGACGCGCGGCGCTCGACTCGGAGGCGCCTAACTTGGCCCAGGTGCTTCCCCGACCCTGTACTCCCGGCTGCTCGGTCCCGGACCCCGGACTCCCGGCTACTCGGGCTGCTGAAGGCACCCAGGTCCCGGGCGGAGCGCGCGCGGAGATGCCGACCTCGGGGCACACGTGGAAGCCGGCTCCTGCGGCAGGAGGAAGTCCAGGATCGCAGCGAGGAGGCAGCGGGCCCGGGCTCCTGGGCTGCGGGCCCGGCTCTGGCTGGGTGAGTGGGTGGGTGAGTGGGAGGGAGGGCGGGAAGGGGAAGGGAGGAGCGGGCAGGCGGTCGGGGTGCTGAGAGCCCCCCGGTGTGGGCGCTACCTTGAACTCCTTACCCTAGCTGCCTAACTGCCCCCGGCTTCCCAAAGCTCAAATAAGAGGGGCCGGCGACGGGGAAGGAGGAGGAGCCTGGAGGTTCAGCGGCTCCATTCACACCACAGCCTGAGCCCGACCCTGCAGCGCGCTGCTCCTTGGGGGGCGCCCTAGCAGAGGGGGTGGGGGCGGGCCTGAGGGAGGGTTTCTCTCGGAGACACCCTTCTCTCCTTCTACCCTCCACTCGCACTCAGCTGGCCTGTGGGGCGCAACCCCCCCTTCCCTTCTTGGACTTTGAAAGTGTGGGCGCCTCGCGGCGATGAGAGTCCCTCCAGGTGAGCAGTGAGTGTCCCCTCTGCACCCGGGTACAATGGGGTGGGTGGGTGGGGGGTGTTAATCTTAGAGGGCGGGTTGGAGGGAGGAGCAGGTGGGCTCGGCGAGGGCGGGAACTTCGAGAAAGCGGAGAGAACTTTCTTGGACTTCAAAGAGGCGGAAACCCTTGCGCTGCTCCCGCGAGTCCGGCTCTAGTTCAGGAGCCGACAGGCTGTAGTAGTGGCCATAATCTCGGGGTCCCTGGGGGACGGCCCCTTATGGGTTCCAGAGGCCCAGGGCTCGAGATGAACGTTCCCCGGCTGGGTGACTGCGAGGGGTTGCATCAGTTGTGATAAATGGGGTATGTTTCGATTGCCTGGTGGTTGGTTACTTGATGAAGTTTTGTGCCCGGAGGAGGGAGGTTGCCGCCTGTTTAAAAATCGGTATCCGCGGGACTTCATCGCCCTTTCTAGTATCGAATTCTTATATAGTGAAGCAGAGGAGACCCCAGCTAGTTTGGGAGGGAGGAATACCCTCAGGAAATGCTCACAGCCCGAGTATGTTCCAGCGGGAGCGTCCTGGAACCCAGTTGGATCGTTAGGGGAACTAGATAGGAAGCCGGCGGGTAGAGGGTCGCTCCTGGTGCGGCTTCTGCCGAGTTCTGGCTCTGCTCACGGTTCAGAGTACCATTCTGGACGCGTAGTAACCGGCCGGGAGGCGCGGCGGCCTGAGGAGTGGGCAGGGAGAGCCTCCAACGGCCAGCAGTCGGAGGCAGTGCTCGCACGGTTGGGCGATCCGGCTGCGTAGTTTCGCCAAATTCGTCTCCTCCCACCACCTAGTCTCTCTATGGGAGCCCGGAGCCCCAGAGCAGGGTGGTTTTTGTTTTGGTTTGTCTATTTGGTTCCTTGGTCAGGATCTATCAGGGTTTAGGGAAACAGCTCACAGGCAAGGAGAAGCGCCGGGACTGTGGAGTGAAGTGCGTTTCAGGGGCACTTGCAGACGGCCGGGAGCATCAGGAAGCAGCGGCGACGGCGCAGAGTAGAACGGCCAGGCGCGCCGGGCGGGAAGTGGCGGACCGCTCCGAGGCCTCCTGCGCCAGGCTGGCCGGGGACTGGGCCCCTGGCTTTCCAGCCAAGTGCCTGTAGAGCAGCAACCAAAATAGTTGCAGTTTTACTAAGAAACCGAGCGTTTAAAAAGCCTTCGTTTTCTAACGCCTTGGTTTTAGTTAATCTGCACCGAGTAAACACAGTCGCCGGTGAGTTCGGGGCGCGGACCTGAAGCATGTGCGGGTTTAGGAAGTACACGCTGCACCCAATTCCCTCTTCTTGGGGTAGTGGGTCCAGGAGGCGCAGGAGACCCTGAGAGCAAAGTTTGGCAACATATGCTACCCTCTTGCTCGCCGGCCACCTTCGGAGTTGTGGACACCTCCTCTGCGATACTTTTGGTGCTTCACTTTGCCGAGTTTCCGCGTAGAAGCATTTTTTTTTAAAGAAATAATAAAGCTTTCGAGGCCGGCTCCTTTCCGTCTGTATTCTTTGCGGATCGTCCACTCCTCTCCCCCACGCCCCATCCCAAACCTGTAGCGGGGCTGGAGGGCACATGGGTTTGGTCTTTTGGGTGGAGAACGGATCCACAAGACAAAACTTCTCGGGATCAAGTTGCCCCTAGAGCGCCCCAGGCCCATGTCTCCTCCTCCATCCACACACTTGTATTTCGACTTCGAAGTCGTTTTTCTTAACTAGGACTCAGGCGAGCTACGAGGGAATTGAGGGCCCTTTGAACAGACAGGGATTTCCATTTCCAAACGAAAAGATGAAGATTGTTTCTATTTTACCCTCCTTTGCAAGTTTTTTGGGGGATGTATTTGGAAGGGGTCTGGCTTGAATGTGAATTTTTGTGTTTTTACATCCCAGGTAGGGCAAAGCACTTGAATCTCTGCCGTTACGTTAAAAAAAAAAAAAAAAAAAAAAAGAAGAAGATTTTCCCTGGGGGGGTGGGATGGGAGGTAAGAGGAGCCCGGGAAATTTAGGACGTTTCCTGAGATGCCGTGAGGGGAGGGGGAGAGGAAAGCAGTGGTGCAATCCCCACTTTAACCCCGGGGTACCCCCTTGCCCCGACCTCACAGTCGGAAGCGGTGGGAAGAGTTCCCCCCACAGCCCCAGAGGCCGAGAGCTAAGAGCTGTGAGTCCACAGCCACTTGCGGTCAGACAGCCCCAAGAACCCGGAGGAGACCTCTGAACGTCCCCCACCCCCATGCACGTGGGCCCAGGCTCCCTTAGGCCAGAGCTGGGGAAACACTGGGCGCCCCATGCCTCCAACTCCTACTCCCTGCTCTAAGTAAGGTTCTCAACGAGAGCCCAGCGTTTACCTAGAAGGAAGCGCCCGCCACGTTAGTCTCGTTGCCCAGATGTGGGCCGCGGATTAGACAGCCTGGCCGCGAGGCAGGTCGCACCTTCGGCCCACTCCGGCAGGCAGGCGCGCTCCTGCTCCTCCTGCAGCTCGAGGCCCACCTGATTTCTCTCGGTGTGACCTGTGGCAAAGAGGATGCCAGTCTGAATCGCCGATTCTCAGAGCTAGAGATCAATACCTCCTTCCACAGAGAAGGAAACTGAGATCCAGATAGAGAGAGGAAAGGCGAGCAGTGGAGCCCAGGGATTGATGGTCAACAAATGGAATCTCGGCTCCACCGTGTAGCCAGCAGTATGTAACCCTAGTGGAGTTCTTTATCTTCTCTGAGTCTCAGCTTCCTTGTTGGACAAATGGGATAATGGCATATCAGTGCCCCTCTCTTGGGGTTGTCATGATAGGATAGCGTTGGTCTAGGAGCTCAATAAATGTTTCAAAATGTGTTACCATTGTTGTCTAAAGACACGAAGCAGGTTGGTGGCAAAGCTGCGCTGAAACCAGGTCTCCCGACCTCCAGCTCGTGGCTTTACCCATCACCCCTCTGCCTCGCTGGAGCTGATGGGGTAGCGGCCGAAGAAAGGAAAGAGGAGGGAGGGAGAGACACGGGAAACCTAAGTGGCTCTGGTACTTTTGGTAAAGAGCGTCCCGGTTTGGGAGGTGCATAATTATTGCAAGATCCAAAAGTCGTGACTGCGTAGGAGGGGGCAGTGAGGATCTCTCGACCCGCAGACCCGCTCGTTCACCCCGATGCTGTCAGCTGCATCTGACGTAGCGCGGAGCCTGGCAGCTCAGGCCGCGACCCCAGGGACCAGCGCGCACGCCCGGGCCGCGCTCCGGGCGTCACCCCGAGGCCGCCGACAACTGAATAAACACGCTGCAGCGCTGCGATCTGTCAAGGGCTGGGGCCGCCTGCCCGCACCCGGGGCCGCAGACGGCAATCAGGAGTGGCTCCGACGCCCGCTGCCGGGGCGGAGCAGCGTCTCGATTAGCACCTTGCCTGGGGACCCGCACCCCGAGCCTGACGCGCAGGACGGACTGCAACTGCGGTTCCTCCCCTCCCCGCCAGCTCCAACTCTCAGTAATCTGCCCACCCCGGACCGCTAGGAAGGCGCTTAGAATGGTTCCCAGCCCCGAGCTGGCTGTAGAAATGTAGAAATCCCAGCTTCATTTCTTTAAATTAAAAAAAAAAAAAAAAAAAAAGCAGGGTGGGGAGAGGTTTTTGTGATGCCCCACTCCCTGGCTTCCTCAGTTCATTTAAAATTTAACTCAGTGTTTTTGACCAATCCCCCATCTACGGTTCGAACACTGTCCGATCCGGTTTAGGGGCCGGGGAACGGGTGCGCACTGCCTGGCTCGCGGTGCAAAATTTTCCTCTCTCCCCAAGTCTGGAGCCGTTGGGGATACCCATCTGTTCTGATGCCACCGCGAGATGGTCCCCAAGCTCCCAGAGAGTCCCCAGTGAAAGGATTCCGCAGCGCTGCCTCTATTATTATACCGTAAATCTTTTTAAATTCTGGAACTAATTATATAGAGGATATGTCTCAATTTGTTCTGCATTAATGCCACAGTGGGGCTGGAGGCCGGGCCATAGCCAGAGCAGATACATAGGCCCATGAAATTGATGAACTGAGAGTTGCTTCCAGTCCTGAGCGTACCATCTGGAATTCCAGTCTGGGGTTACAATTAGAACTCCTGACCCCAGATTCAACTTTGCAAACAAGGGAAAAAATGGGGAAAAGAAAAAACCAAGAGAAAAAAACGACGTATTCTGCACCTGTAAAAAAAGAAAAAGAAATCCTCATACAATCTTAAAATCTTTTCAGCTTAGAAAATTCTCTACAAGTATTACTTTTTTTTTTTTATCCTATAAAAGATAATGGAATCTGTTTTATAGACTGGATTTTATCTCGTCCCCCTTCCCTCTCCCGGCTGCACTCGCTTTAATAGTTGTCAGTTTTTCTCTGTGTTGGATTTAATTATGTAGGACTTAAATATTCCCCCAGTAGATTAGCTTGCTAAATATTCTGTCACTTTTGTGATTCCCTCCTTGAGAAATAGCTTAATTACAGAAATCTATCTAGATCTAGGAACTTATTTTTGACTGCTACTCCAGCATAACTGTAATCAGGGG